TGCAAGAGGAAGGTTGCTCATATACTATTATAACACTAGGGTTTAGAAAGAAGCTCACTCAAATATTAAACATAAACTCTGAATATGAGATTTCTTGAATGATTCTACTCTCTTTTATATAGATACTTCAAAGACATACACAAAGATAAAGTCTTCTTTCTACCATCTAATCTACTCCAAGTGGATTGTGTACATGGCGGATATAACTAATGAGCACACAGATTGTTGAGATAAATCTCAGGAATATGACTTGTTAAAATCAATGATATACAATATATAATCAATCAATATATGATCAATATACTTATTGGAATATACACATTCATTAGATGTTTACATATTTCAAAATTTGAAAAGCCCAAGTTGAGACTATGTGAGATATTTACGTATAGTCAATGGTAGGAAGATGATTTTTCTGAGTAGTTATGGAGTTACTAAAAACAGCAAGGAATTTCTTGTTAACTCATCATGGCGTATATTTGAAAGTCTCAATTTCATGATGTAGAAGAAGATGTGAAATACGTTGAGCTAATCCGATATAACTTATGAATTTAGGCTGAAGTTTATAATAACACAATGCAATTGGTAAAGCTTTTTTATTTTGATCTAATTAATTTTTTGACAATGTTTAGATTAAGTTACAAACACATGACTGATTATATTAGTTTAAAACTCTTTGATTTTACGTTTTATCTTTTCATACTTACGAAAAATAAATCCAAGTTGTTTACTACTTGCTAAAAATATTCTTTTCTTAGATATGCTAGTGATGTGAAGGATTCTAGACTATGAGATCTAATAGCATGTAAAGTTATTGTCCGTACGGATGTTTGTTTCATTAAGTCCAGATCTTCACATAATCTTTTTATGGATAAGTTCAAACCTCTATCAATAAGTTTAAGTGAAATGATGCTACGAAGCGGCATATTAAATTCTTTAGCAATAATAAGACTTTGGAGCTAATGAAACTTCATATGAATCACGTTTTGATTGTTTGCAAGTGGGTGTACAAATTGAATGACAATTTGATACGTTCAATCTTCATATTCATATTGGTGGTTAGATATTTCACACAAGAGATTGATATGAACTTTAACAAACTACTCTAACCTATAGCAAAATATGCTATAATTTGCCTTGTATGTGCACTTGCTGCAATATTTTGACTCAACATAATTTAGATTGATGTAGTGACTACATTATTTGCAAACCAATTATTCTTAGATTATAGATTTTTTAAATCTATAATATTAATTGAAGCAAGCTTCTAAAAAGTGAAATAATAGATTTGATGAGTTCATGAAAGCATTATGCATTTCATGGATTGATTATGTTACTCATGTATACATAAAAAATTAATAATTAAATCTTCAATCTTATTATTTTAGTATTTTACGTGAATAACATGCTTATTTTGGCAAAAAATCATTCATATGTTCAAATGTGCAAGGATCATTTGAAGTTTTTATTTAAGATGAAAGATTTAGATTGGTCAAAAAAAAATTCACATATATTTGATGAACCATAGGCTATGATTAGATCAATGCAAGTACGTTCAACATGTGCTTGATAAGTTTAACATGGCTGACTCTAAATAGTATGGATGTCTTTGGCAACACCCTTTAAACTTTTTGTAGTTCAAATTTCAATCAATGTCATTGAGAAGAGAAAGATGTCATCAATTATTAGTGACAAATCTATCATTAATATCATGAATTTGATGGTGTATATAAGTTCTTATATTGCTCTATCCATGAAAAAGATGAATAGGTACATGTCAAATCCAAGAAAAATGCATAGAAAGTGTGAAATGGATTGTCCATATTTGAAAAAATATCAAAACTATGATTCATTATCTAATAATTTACTAAAAAGTGTCAAATCCTTGCTAGGTTACTTTCATGTTGATCATGTATACTATATGGATAAGAGTATTTACAACTAGATATATGTTTATAGTTAATGTTGGACATATGTTGCAAAATTGCGTAGCTTGATTAAAACGAAAGCGGAATATGTAGCAGGAGCAAAAGCAACAAAAAGAGCTATTTGATTGAATAAGCTTATTACTAAGATAGGATTGAAACAAGAGGTGTCAATTACTACGATAGTCAAAATTCATTACATATTGATGCAAATCAAGTAATGGATAGTGGAGTATCAATCTATCCACATTTGATATCACTTTATTGGACATGCAATTACTGATTAAAAAATTTGAGATGCTCAAGATTGATATCAATTCATAAGGTGACAATGTATTTTTTGAAGTTTTTTTGGAAAAATTATGCTACTATGCAAGTTTTGCATGATTTCGTTATCTCTATATAGTTTTTAACTCTATCATATTTTGATTATCGATTAATTCTAGTTAGTTTTAGTAAAAAAAACCTTTGTTAAGTTTCATTATAAGATTTTTTTGCAGAATATATTATATGGTATAGAGTTTATTATTCCTTGACATGTGTTGGTATGGAGATTGTGAAGATTAACTCTTGTTATGCATACGGTCTATTGTTGTTGTGTGTAAGTGAAGTATTCTTAAGATTTACTTGTGTTTGTTGTGATCTACTTAAAGTGACAAAACCTAGGTCGCCGCCTTGAACATTGTACATCTTTCACAAGCAAAAACCAAAACTACCAATTTTGATAATTCTATTTTATCATATGTTTATTTGTGATCTTTTTGTATTGAGATCAAATCAAATATTACATATTATGATAATGTTAACTTGAATAAGCAATAACTAGATTGAATGCTAACATAAATTATTCGTTAATATTATATTTTTTATGAAATTGATATGATTATCATATAAAATAGTAAAGTACACTTGATTAAATTTTTGTAAATTATAAATTTTTTACATTCTTTTTTGAGAAATTGATGTTATCAAAATGATAAATAGAAATTTGATATTAATTATATTTTTTATTAAATATCATGTTTTTTCTTTTAAAAAATTTAACTTTTTTCTAATTTTTAGATCAGTTCAAATCTTATTTTGATTTTTTTTAAACATTAACATTGATCATAATTTAGCTAAATTTTCATTAATTAAATAAATTATGTTTTCTGCATAAAAATAATTTTATTTCTATCAAAAATATTTTTTATGTAATGATTTAATATATCTATAATTTTAATATAATGAAAGCTTTAAGAAAATTCATTATTGAATATTCTTGAAAATTTTATAACATCATCATCGATGATATTAAATTTGATATATATAAGTAAAAAATACATTTTGATGTTTTATAAATAATTTATAAATGTCAACAATCTTTTTAGTCTTGTTATCAATACTTGTGAAGGAAAAGTAATGAAAGAAAAGTAAGCTTTAAAATTGGAATTATTCAAAATGATTGGATATCAAAATGGAATGTGTGAAAATTGTAATTTTTTGTAAGATTTCAAATTTATTTATATATCTTCAATGTATAATTTCAAGTAAATTAAAAACATTTGATTTTTTATTATTATATTATTATGAAATCATTTAAAATTTATTTATTTATTCAAATATAAACAATTAATTCTAAAATTTAGGCTAGATTTAGATTGAACCAAAAATTTGTGAATGTTTTTTTGAATTTGATGAGTTTTAATCTTTAAGTACAAATAATAGTTTTTGATTGAACATTAACATGAAGATTTTTTAAGAATCGAGTGTTTTTTTATGATTAATATATAAGATTGGATATTCTTTATTTAGTTCAAAATTTAAAATATGAGAAATAAGTCATGCAAAACAATCAAGTCTAGTCAAAATGGAGTAGAAGAGAAATTTTTAATGTTAAGTTATATCTTTGATGTATGTTGGATAACTGATGTTTAATATTATTCTTGATGCAATAATTCATGTAGACATTTATTGATGGGCAAAGTTAACATGACATTATCAATGCTATGTTGGATGACATGGAAAATTTTATATCACACATGTTATAAAATTAGAATGATATCGTTATTATGACATGTACTGGATTAAAGTCGAATCATGTTTATACTACTTGGGAAGGAACAAATATCGATATGGTGGTTGTGTTGCTCTTTGATTTAACTTTTTGAATAGTTAGTGAGTGTGATATAAATATTGAAGTCACAATTTTGAAGGGTAGCAGGTGGTATAAAGTTTTTTTATATCCCATTGGATAGATAAAGGTAGTTTCTAATGCTATCTGGGAAATGTGTGTGAGAGCATGATCAAGACATTACTTTGCACAGAAGTTTCATTGTTAAATTTTTTTAAGTAGATCATAGTAACTATTTTTAATATATGTTTCCATTATTCAATAGAATTAAATACCTAGCAATTTATACAAAGAATGAATCCAGGAATAGATTGGAATGGTGCTTTTGTTTACGTATTCACATATATTAATTATATGTTTGATACACATTATTCTAACTTAAAAGAATGATGTATAATATATTTTATTCTGAATGAATATTTCTGTCATTAGTAACAATGGCCAGTAAGTACAGTATTTTCGAATTTAATTTGATGTCATCTTATTATAATATTTGTAATATACTTTGCCCTCGTAGCTGATACTGATAAAAAGTCGAGGACTTTTTATCGACTTTTTATCGCCCATTTCCAAAAGGAAATGGGCGACCGTCCTCGAAAAAGTAGCATCGGATATTTGACAAAGGATCACCGACGACTAGTAATGTTCGTACATAAGTATACCGATGGTAGAGAGCAGAGCGGTTGGGGAATTAAAATAGTCCAAACAACGTAACCTCGACCAACCGCCGTGAACCCACTCGGTGGGCCCGAAGCAGATGAGAACTCCTCGACAACCACGTGGCGGAAGAGGATGGGTGGCTGCTGACAGGGATACTGGGAGCGCCTCGCTGAACGGCACGTGTACGAGACGACCCACTAAAATGGTCCTACCTAAGCCCGGCGACACGTGTCGAGACGGGGCTCCTGACTAGATATTCCGGCACCACTTCCGCCTCCAATTCGCAATACAATCTGTACTGCAGCGCATGGCATGGCATGGCATGGGCTCGACTCTAGGCACGGAGCAATTCAGCGGACCTGAATCGATATGGACCCTCTCGGCGATTCAGTTGATGCACGTGGGTGTGGGAGCTCCAATTCTTAGTGAGACTACATAAGACTGGCTTTCGGAGAGGCTGAGAAACTCGTGTCGAGTGCAGAGGTGCTGAGAGATCGAGCTCAGAGCATTCGCAGACGCAGCAGAGTGGTCCGCAAGTGGGACGGAGGTGAGCTTGCTTCGCTTCGAGCTTTTCGCTTTTGTAGGCTGTCCGGTTCTTTCCGACCATGGCTTGTCTGCGTCTTCGTCTGGTCCGAGATCGCGGACAAGAATTTTCGTTCCTTGGATTTGTGTGCGGAATGGTGTGCCTGAAGGTGCGTGCTGATAAAACGATTCTGATGAAATATTGCAGAGAGACGAGGCCGAGAAGGAATCAGCCCAGGCAGTTACCGTAGCCAGCAAACATGCCTCGCGCTAGAGTCGCCCACTCGTTCGAGTCCCCGACCGTCGATGTCATGATCGACATGGGGCATCCTTTTCTCAACAGAACGGTGGACGGCTTCATCAAGATCGGCATTGTAAGTCTTGCGAAGCTTAGCTCGCAAACACTGAGCTCGGCCCTCTTCTCCTTTCGTACTTTTCGCAGCTCGAAGTCTCAGTAGTAATATAAAGGAATCATCAGTCTTGCTGACTCCTTCAGCAGGCCTTCAGTGGCAGCAGCCGCTCTTGAGCTCTCATGCAATGGCCTATGACTAGATGACCTCTGGAATGCTCGACCTGGTGCATCAAAACTGAGCTCCACAGTCCTGCATGGCAGAATATACCAGACTGGTCATTCAGTAGAACTGGCATCAACATGTTGGTACTTAAAAGTGGGAGTTGTAGTGGAGGAGTTGGGAGGGATTCCGAGGAATTTGTCCATAGATCCAGGGCCTGTTCTTGAGCTTCCAAGAACCAAAGCATGTCTCCGGTGAAGCGTCCACTTTGCTCAAAGAGCAGAGGGGGAGTAGTGAGGTATTAGACCTGACCCAGTGTGATTGTTGACGAGGGTAAGGAAAGCATTGGCAAGGTTAGGTGATCGAGACAGAAAACAGCGCCCATAAATGCTCTTCTGTTAAGGGACGTGGTAGAGAAGCAGAGAAAGTGGAGGTGAAGGTCGGAGTAGTGCGCCCATACTTTGCAAGTGAGGACATGATTAATAGACTTTCTTGGGAGAAAAAGGTACTGAACAAATGTTGGTTTTTCTACAGGTCGGCGCTGCACACGCGGGCACGCAAGAGATTTTTGGCATGTTGAGGAAAGGTAAACAGTTGCGAGTCAGGTCGATGCATGTTCCTTCTACGGTACAGATTTGAGCTGTGCATGATCTGTCCTTGTCTGGCCGTCTCGGAAGAGCCTGTACTACGTGCACTATTCTTTCCTGATTTGTTGCGTCTGGTTTTCGTGAAAGAACTCTAGCACTGCCACAGTTTGTGGCTCGGCTTACGGTTTCGTGATTTTGTCTACGTCGTTTGCCTTGCGTAGTCTAGTTCAGTCCAGTACAGTCCAAGTCTATCTTCAACATGAGATCGATACTTTTCTCGCTCATGGTCGGAGGTACCGTTTCATCCAACAAGACGTCAGTGTGTTCATGTTGTAATCTGTACTGAAGTCCGTGATTCCCGTCTCTACGTGCACTCGTGGAGGCTTGTGTTGAATTCAAAAGTCATTATTTTGTGAGTGAGTGAGGACCGGCTGTGAGTACATTAATACCCTTCACCTGATATTGACCCGAGCATCGAATTTTTGGACTTGCAGAAAGCGTCACTAAAAGGGATATCGAGAAAGGGGTAAGCTGCTATAGATCACTCCCTCCTTAGTTCTGGTAGAGATGGATAGTATTTACTGAGAGCGTCGAAATTTGATTCTGTATTTTGCTCTTCAGACATCTCAGCTTCGAGTGATTTCGTGCATACAGTTTTCAAAGGAGAACTTTCCGGAAGTAAATCTGGTCCTGTAGAGGAATGTTGTGTTTTGTAGGCAGCTGATAGTTGACAATGTTTTCTGGAGCCGGGAGGAGGGGAATTTGTGTGTAGTTTGCCATTGAATCTATGACGATGTAGTAATATCCTAGTGAAACTTCGATGGAGGTGAAGGGTGTGAAAGCGTGGAGAAGGATGGGTTTACAAGAGGATAAATTATCATTTGGCCATCTATCAATGTTTTACAGCCTCGAAAACGCGTTTCCGAGCAATTTTGTCATTCTCGAAATAAACTTGCGCAGCAGACTACGTTAGGAAAGCCCCTCTAACGCGAGACTGTTTTATCGACTGTTCTTCTCCTCTGCAGATTAAGAAGATGGCTTCCGAAGGAGTGCAATGGGGTATGCAATATTCTCTCATATTTAGCTGGACTGCATGAACATGTTTTTCTTACGGGCGTGAGTAAAGTCAAGACAGCCTAAAGATAGCATGTTCCGTGAAACATTCTTGCAACATAAGAATGAAATAGGCACAAATGTGGAAATTATCTTTGCCTTGACAAAAATTTACGAATCTCATTAGCTGGATTGATATTGCAGGTGTGGTGGCTGGAATCTACACTGGAATGGAGTACGGAATGCAACAAACTCGAGGCCGACACGATTGGGTATGCAAGAATTTAAATAGTGCAAATATATTCGTTTCTGTGGGAGTAAAATATTGCAATACGAAGATTAGATTTTCAGAGAAAAGCTCAATTTTCCTGCGCTTTAGAAGATTGAGCTTGATGAATTGTTTTAGCTTCCAGTAAATGTACGTAGGAGAACGGTAATCATGAAGGAGGGGAACATGAAGGTATTAAACACTAAATCTAATCAATTTATCGCTTCGACTGCAGAAAAGTGCAATGTTGGGAGGAGCCCTGACGGGCGCGTTGTTAACCTTCGGAGATAGTTCGTACGATAAGGAGAAAATGCTGAGGTCAGCCATTACTGGAGGAGCCATTGCAACGGCGGCTGAGTTTCTACGAATTCTCACATGAAATGAAAGTAGTAAGCTGGGCATGTTTAGTAGAGAAAACAAAACAAATTTGTATATTCTTTGGAGTTTATTTTCCACCAATCTATTACTGATTGTATGACACAAAAATTACCAATGTTTTCATCTTGATGAGAGATAATTATCACTGTCTTACAGCCTACATATGAATGCGAAAAGTAACTTTTGTAAAATGGACATGATAGAGTAACATATTCATTTTTGAGATTGTCGGAAGTAAACTCTGCTTGAAACTTTTTCTTTTTTTTTCAAGCTAAATGTAGCGAATTAGAAATACAATTTTTTTGACAAATTCAAACATAATAATTTTAAAATGAAAGGAAGAAAAAAGGAAAAATCGCACAGAAAATAGACTGTAACAAAATAGGTTTTCTTACATTTACGTACAAGATATTTACATCTACACATATGAATAAATGTAAATACTTACTGATCATAATCTATAATTCCTTCACACAAATTTAAATTTATATTAAAATAACATGATATACTCCAATTAATATATTAAGTAGCAAACAATAAACTAAATAATAATACTTGATTAGTATAATATTATAATGAATATTATCAGATCAAATATTACATGAAAAGTAATCAACACTAGTAGATTGGTTTTAAAATTTTCAGATAAGAATTGCAAGAATACCTGGTAGATCTTCAAGTAACCTTGCAAACAAAATCACAAAAGTCGAAACACAATAGGGAAAAAGTGTAGTCTAAAGGTTATTAAACTTTGCTATGGAACAAGTTTGATGTTCTTCCCATATCAACACTCGTTATCACCATCACTCCCATCAACATAATTTTCAAAAATTAATAATGTCCCATTTTTATACCTTGTAGAAGCTTTATTTGATGATCATTTAGTATAAGTTTTTGTTCATCTATATAGTTTGTTTGCTCAGTGATTTGAGGTTTACCAGCCATTACTTGCTTCTTCAATTTTTGCTCTCGTTAGGTTTTTCTTCCATATGGACAAAAGTTTATATTTATTTTCGATTATTAAATCAATAATGATCAATCTACAACATACGTGAATGAAAATTTATACTTCTCAAAATTTAGAACTTGAAAACGTAAACTCTTCTTCAATGTTCAAGATTTATCAAAAAAAATAAATCCCTAATAACAATGAACTTATATGTTATATCCTGGATTTCACAGAGCATAAATCTTCACGAGACTAGCATATCTTGAATAGTATATTCTTTTTATGTAACAATCAACTTGATCTCTGTATTTTGGGTTTAAGAGTATATGTCCTACTTATATATCCGGTGATTCTTCAATTGATTCACTATCAAGAAATCAATTGCACTCAAAGAATATTGATTTACCAAAGACATTGCAATATTGACAACTTCAATGCAAAATTCAATTTATAAATCAAATTGGCTGAACATATTACGCATTTCTTTCAACATTGTTTGGATGAGACTTTTAAAAATAACGTTATCATTATGTTGTAGAGTATCTAAAATGGTGAGATGACAAATGATACTTTTCTCTTCGCAATATTTTTTGAAATTATTAAAAATATACTCCCGCCATTATTTGCATATAAATATCTCACATTTTGTCTAATTTCAATATCAGCTTGCACTTTTCAAAATTTAAGAATTGAAATAAAAAAAAAATTTGTTTAAAAATGTAAAGTCATTCAAATCTTGAATAATCATAAATAAATGATATAAAGAATAAACATTAATGCCTAAAACTGTTAATTTCATGCTTTAAATTATTATTTTTAAATTTAAAGATTTTTTATAAATTTCAGTATTTGATTTGATTTATAAATTACAGTTTAACATTAAATAAATTTATTCATTCAATACATATGATAATTTTAAAATTTGTAATAAAATTTTCACATAAATTATGTTTGATAATATACATGATGTGATCAATTATTGCTACAAATAAATCAAAGAAGAAAGGACGCAATAAAATTAATAAACTATAGGTGGTCTAAATAGATCTTAATAAGTGATAAATGCTAGTTAAATTGAAACAAAGATGAGTAGATAAAGGATCACATTCAAAATAAAATAAAAAAGATGAAAGAAATATGACGCATGATGCAAAAATACCGTAATAAAAATCAAAACGGTTGAAAAGTAAACAATTTTAAATGCTATCTATCAAATAAGTTAATAGCAATACTAATTTTTAGTAATATTTCTCCAACTTTGATCTAATCAATCATGAGAAGTTATAACTATTTCATTGAATATCAAATTTTTTTTACTTTAAGATTGTGATCAAATCTTGTTGTAGAATTTCATGCAAGATATGTAGTTGTATTTGTGAATTGATAATATATTTTATCAAATAGTTCACCTTAGTCATGAAAAAGTTTTGCTAGACATTATTAAATTTAGTTGTCAACTTTAAATTTGAAAGAATAAATAGAAAACTTCTAAAAACCATGAATGAGCACTATTGTTTTCTTTCATATCAAAATTTAGATTCCAAATAAATAATACCTTGACTATATGTTATGTTTGATTCATATAATAGAATTTTGAATGGTTAGATTAAATCTAAAATTGACTTAGTGACAAGGTGGAAGATCTAGAAGTTTAGAGGTCTCCAATTGCATGTCGTTATCTTATATACGAAAAAAACTTCATGCCAATGACATGTTGTCACATAATACAAAGACTTCATGCCTGCAATTTTCTCTTAAATAGAAAATTAGATGATGTTAACTTGTACTATATTTATACTTATTATTCTCTATTTATATTGGTATAAATAGAGAAGGAAAGAAGAATTATCAAGCAAATTTTAAGGTTTTTTTATGTGAATATTATTCATGTTATTCATGAATATTATTGTTTCATCAATGGATTATTGAGTTAACGGATATCTTTAAGTGTCAATAAATGTTGAAATTAATAACGAGTGGAGAGGTTATATGAAACACAATCTTGTACATAGATTTTTTACTACTGAAATCATATCAAGCTATAAAAAAAGCATATAAAATAAATTTGAACGAAAGTAAGCTTGGAAGTCACAGTACTCATTTCACTAATTTGTTTTGGAAAATTTTGTTTAGTTTTTCATGACATAATTAACCATGTTAACCACATATTATATTCATATTGACGGTCAAACGGAAAGCATCAATAAAACAGTTGATGAGATATATATATATATATATATATAAATAAAGAGATATATATATATACATATTTTCAAAATTATATATTAAAATAATAAAATTTATATATAATTTGATTGTGTATTATTGATAATGTTATGCCAAATTGTGTGAAATGGCTGAAAGAGAATTATTTGAAATTCAATAATATTTGTAATACATTGAAATACAATTATTTACATACATTCAAAGGAAAATAAAATATTAAAATTAAAATTCTTCATTCTTCAATTCACTTGAATAGGTTATTTTAAAATAAGATTTTGAAAGATATCGTATGTAAAAACAAATTAAATTGATTATTTATCAATATTTAATTACATTTAATAATACACATTAATTTCCAAATTATGTTTTTTGTAATTTACATAAATTTCTAATTACATATAATAATATAAAAATATCATAGTTTCTATTTAATCTAGAATGATTAAAGTAATCCAGATTCTGTATCAATCAAGATTATTCAAAACATCAATTTTTCATAAAAATTTCAGTTTCAATAAAATTATGATTTGAGGTTTATAAAATAGGTTCAGTTACTCTTAAAAAAACTAAATTTAGTTTTCTAATTTTTTTATCACAATACATAGTTACATTTGAATCAAATTTACTATGGGCTTCAAAACATTTTGCCCTAGTTATTATGGTTCAGGAATTATCCATCAGAATCACAAACTCAAAGGTATGATTAAAAAATATTTATAAGAAAGATTTCACTTTCAAATATTATATCTTGATACATGTATAATTTAATGTACATAATGTATATTTTCAAACACTGTAAATATCACTACCACTTATAACTACTTACGAGATCTTCCTCTGCACATCTACACATAACTGGAGATGGTGTTACATAAATTTAGCATTTTCTTTTTAGAACTTTGCAAATGATTGCCAGTTTCTTATATACAAATGAGCATGAAATTCGTAAACGTTGCTGTATATATCAACATAAGGAAAGATTCTGCTGATGAATATGGTTAGAGCAGTCTTTATTAGAATATGAGTTTTATCAAAGGTGAAGAAGAGAGCACATAGCGTACACTCTCATTGTTGTCAGATATAATATACAAAATTCAATATAGTTGCATGAATGAAAAAGAATAAAAGGAAAGTCACATTGTATATCTTATAAGGGCATACCAACATGTCTCACGATGTCTTATCTTGGTTCACGTTCTTCGCCAAAACGCTTTGTTTATGAGAATATCCACTGCATGCCAAATCATGATGTAATCGTACCATTTCTTTAATAAATAATGCATAATACTTATGTTCATTGGCCCTTAAACTATTGAAAAAATATTACAAAAATTTGATGGCAAGATGCGAGTAGCTTTTTGTTCTTTTGAACTAACAAAGAGTTAAGTGTCCTCGAATAACAAGAAAGATGATATTATTTATAACTCCAAGACCTGTCATAGCTAGGACATGTCATGTTCTTTTGTTCCCTGTAATGTGACGGGCGACAGTCATATAGAACAAGAGGAGGAACTCTATAAACCGATGAAGTTGTAAATACCAGAACACTAGTGAAAATTCGGACGGGGCTGGGTACTTGTTCCGAGGAAAGCGCCTGAGTTGGGATTGAGCTTCAGGCAGAAATTCACCTGCCGATTTTCCCAAAAGGCGATCGGGGAATCCATCGACGGTCACCGTGTCGCGATTGGGTAAAGATTCCAAGATTCCCGATCGTTTGTGCCCCGTGAGTTCCCGTTGATTCCGGTTCTTGTCGTGTATGCCGTTCTGTGGCCAATCGGAGACCGTTCCATTTGCCGACTGATCCGCATGATACAATGTCAAACCAATCGCGAAACCCTACAAACAGTGAAAAATATACGAGAAATAAGATCGGAGAGAATAGTACATGAACATTTAGTGTAAACACTTGCGTTGCGCTAAGCGGCGACGCGTGGATAAACAGCAGCTTAACAATGTCACCGCAAAAATTTGATCCTCGCCAGTAAAAGTCCAAGAATAATTGTTGGAGTCATCCCTGTGCGACTTCAAGGGGTATTTCCTTCACTCTTGGTGTAACACTAGCTGTCTCTAGTCGATGAGAAATAAGTGGAAGAAAGGTGAGGAGAAAAATGACGGGAAGTTAATAATTAAATCTCTCTCGGGAGAGATGTAAACACGAAGCGAATTTTAAGTGGTTTGGATACGAGATAAAATTGTCCAAGTTTAACATGCAAATGATTTGTTTGAAAGCGTCAGAGAAAGCACCAGATAATACGGAGACACCATATTTATGGCGCTTCAAAAGAAGAATTAGCTTCAAATCCAAAATCGGAGAAAGGACTAAGTAAGATACGGCCAAACTAGCGGAGGTATGGTATCTGCAAAAGGCACTGGCTACAGTTTCAATAAAGATTCCGAAAGAACTCCGTAAGCAGCCCGTGCATCTCCGTCCGTAACTTCTTGTGGCGTCGGCCGTTTCCAGGAGCGAGTCAGTCGGTCCGTCCACCCGCGGGACGTAGAGACGGCAGCAGAGCGAGAAGAAAGAAGCGGAATCTGGAGGTTGCTTGGCTTACAAGAGGAGGAAGAAGGGGGAATTGGATGTCGATCGCGGCGGACGGGACTTACAGAGCGACCTGCCCCAGACGAGGGCCGACTTGAATCCGAGGGAGGGAGGGAGAGCCGGGCCCCCGGCGTGAGAAAGAGAAAGAGAGTGGGCAGCGGGGGCGAAAGCGGAGACAGTCCGAGGAGATGCAATAGAAGAAGATCGAGTGCTAGAGCTCCAGATCGATCCCATCGCACAACAAATCTATAAGCACCAGCACCAAAAGATCATTGCAATAAGTTGCTGTTGTTGTAGTCGTCATCGTCTTCTTTGTTGCTGCTTGCGGAGAGGCGTGCGGGCGGGAGTGGAGGAGCAGAACAGAGCAGAGCAAGTGCAAAGAGCTCGGCGCGAGATTGATTCCTCGGTTCTAGGTATGTTCAGCGTGCGCGCCTGCCTTCGTGGGTGTTCTTCGGGCGTAATTGTCCCGGCTGGCGAGAGCCGTCGAACCAGTCCAATGCGATTGCGATGAGGTGCTGGTGTTCGTAATGCCGTCTTCTGGGTTCGGGGGTTTGAGGCTCTCTGGGTTCAGTACGTTCTTTCGAAATGTGGTACTGTGCTGGGTTTTGTGCTTGTTTGCGATGAGGAATTTTCTGGTTGGGTCTACGTTTTTGTCACCCGGTTAGTTCCTTGATGTGCCTCTGATTCTCAATGTGGAGATCTGGTTGTGCTCGTTCCAATGCTGCTAGCTGGAGCTCGTTCGTTTTTTAGTACGGTGTCATTTTCTTTAATTGCTGCGCAGAGACAGAGATCTCAATTGTAGGCAGTTCTTGATTTTACTTTCGCCTGGTTGCTTCAAAACCCTCAATTCATTGCAGGTGGTTGACGATAACTGTAACTGTTCTAGTCCAGGTATATCCTTTTCGAGCTTATGGTAATGGTGTCAGTAGATCTGGTTAGAAGATCACCATGCCTGTTATTTCAGGCCAATTTATGTCAGATTGCGGTCTCATTGTTGAGAGATTGTCTCTAGGGGCTCATCCTAGCGATCACTATCTTCTGCATTGTCGATGCAGGAAGTTGTCGCAAACTGTCAGAGCAATCTATGTTCGTATCATGCATCCTAACTACTGTGTGTACTGTTCACGCTTGTCTAGGCGGGTTTGTATAACTGATCGTTCATTAAAGTTGTATGAACGATTGGTTTCGGCAATATAGCCCAAACCGCATTTTCTGACTTGAGAAAAATCGGGCGCTTTGTGCTGTACACAGTATGATCGGTCTTGGTCGCCCTGCTGCCTGCACCCTGCAAGCTCACAACACTGTTCCGCTCATTCCCTTCGAGTTAGCATATGCATGTATTTTTCCGAAAGAAGTGGAGCACACACTCATCAAAAGTAATATCTACGACAGGCCACTCAAGCTACAATAATGACACGTATGAACTCGCACTTGATTTCCTAGTTTCGCAAAGTAGCAGCCGACGCTCTTTCTGCGGAAGAACTGGTTTTCTTGGGATTGAGAGATTCATGCATCTAGGTGCATCCACCTCTAAATGTTGCCGATGGAATTTTTCATAGCCATTGTCAGTTACATCTAACCTACAATCTTTTCAGTCGTGGAGGATTTGACCTCCATCAAAGATACACACAAAGTCTTCAGTTGCAGCTAATGAGTACCGTGCTGCGCTTCTCTTCACATTAGGGCATGGATCCAATTTCTATGTGTAAACCCGAACGTGACATTCTTTGTCCACCTTTTGGTATTCATATGCATTTGAGAGAAGCGTTGCCGCTTCAAAATGCCCATCCTCTTCGGATCTGGGTAGGATTAATACTTACAGGGAATTGTAAATCCCAATGTTGGATGTGAAGCTTGACCTGAGTTTTCAAACGTTGTTTTAGTCTATTTCCCTTAAACTTCCGGCAATCAATATCTAGTCATTATTGATCCTCCGTTTATTTCGACACTTAACTATAATGCAGACAGATATCTTAGTGGTTGAAGTAATAAGAGCTACACTATAGTCATTGAATGATAATCATAATTATCGAATATAGTTAATTGAATTGTTAAAGCCATTTGCTTTCAAGAGCTGTGATCAACTCTGGCGACGAGGGGCACTCGTCCTCACATTCTGCCTCTTCTGTTTAGTTTATAGTGATCTGAAAACTGGTCAACGTTGTTAACTCTCTCTAGTCAGTGGACAATATTTCTGATTTTGCATCCCGTACGGTTACTTTCCAGTCACACATTCCCCGTTGACAAATCAGCACCAACTCTATACTCTGTATGGTGGTTTTGTCTTTGTTTTTTAGTTATGTTTCTTTTATTTTGATATTTCACATGTTATCCCGTTTTGTAACTTGTCGATGTTACCTGTACCTAATTTAATCTTCCAGTTGAGACGGATGTTCTTGTGATGTTTACTCCTGATTTTCTGGCCTATCAGACTGATAAGTAGGTCAAATTGAAGCGTTTCTCGGTCGTGGTATTTTTCCTTTCTAAGAAACAGTAGGTTACAACGACAAATAACTTGGAAGTCAGATGTTGGACCGAATTGGGTTCTTGTAAATCGCTTTCTGCACTCTTTCATTGCAGTCGTTTGTAGATTTATACCTGGGGTTTGAATCATGCCCTCCTGTCGTTCATATTTAACGTCTTTTATTTCTTTGCAATACAGGTATTTGGGTCTCAAGATGGCGGCTGTTACAGTAGCAAGTCACTCTGAACAGCCGGAATCGCCAGGTTTAAGTCGTGTAACTCCGGATCATCGGACTCCTACTGCTGCAACTCAGAAAAGAGGCCGGGACGACGATGCCGGGTCTGGTGGTGAGAAGAAGTGGGCGGGGTGGCCTGGAGACAACGTCTTCCGCCTCGTGGTTCCTGTGCAAAAAGTTGGTGGTATTATCGGTCGTAAGGGTGAATTTGTAAAGAAAATGTGTGAGGAGACCCGTGCCCGGATCAAGATTCTTGAGGGAGTGCCTGGGACCTCAGAACGCATTGTATGTTTCTTCCTCAATCCAAGCTTTTGTGATTTGCAAACCTGTACTACATACTTCAACCCAAGGTTTACTGCGGGACGTTTCAAAGCTTTTTTATGGACAATATTTGGGGGTTAGAACAGCAGTTTCCAGATGGCTCACATAAAATGAAGGTTTGGAACAGACATAATATTCAACAAGTAGCATTTACAACAATATCGACAATAAATTAGTAGAGACGAAAGCATACGATTTTCTGTGGGGCCTTTGTACGTTTTCTTTGTTGTCACGTTGTGACTCATATTCCGATTATTTCAAATTTTCAAGTTGAAGTGTGAAGAATAAACTAAAACTAAGTGAGTGAAAAAGTTGCCATATAAACTCAACTTACAAACTTTGTCTTATTCATCTCCTCGATATTCGCCATTAAGGAATTTTTTCTTTTTTCTTTTATGAGATATACCACTGTTGTTGGGCTGTCGAACGTACACTATTTGAAGCCCATCGCTAAAGTGATAGTCAACAGACTCTCGGTCTTGCACTCTGCAAGAATCAATCGTGCTCATGACATGGAAATATTTGACTCGGTCCAGGTGCTGGTGTCAGCGAGGGAGGATCCAGATCTTGCTGTCTCACCTGCTATGGATGGGCTTCTTAGAGTTCATAGACGTGTAGTAGAAGGTTCTGATCCAGAAGGTGAAGATGGACATTCGGAGCCCAGAGCGGGTGGAGGCACCATAGCTTCACGATTACTAGTAGCAGCGACACAAGCAGGTAGCCTTATTGGGCGTCAAGGAGCTACTATCAAGTCTATCCAGGATGCATCTGGTGCGACTGTGCGTGTCCTCCCTCCAGGTTAGTAGTTCTCATATACTTATCTCCTTGTATTATCAATTGTTGGAGTAAACTTACAAGTAGCATGTATGTTTTTCGGATAAGGATCTTCACTCTTTGTACTGGAAAAATCACCAAAATCTCCTTCAGTTCATTGCTATTGACAAAAGAATGGCATCAAAATCTAAAAATAAATAAATTTAATAATAATAAAATCAATGAATCATACTTCTCAAATCAGGAATAAGACTCAACAAATCTTGTAGTATATCGTAGGACGAATATCAAAACTCCTGAACCTCTTGAGCCAAGCTTTACGCAAGACGATATTGTTTTTTACTCGTCAGCACATAGATTCTTCTGCAACTACATTCTCTAGAATGTTCAAGGGTTTTTAGTTGTGATTAAGTCTGATCAAATAAATTGTAACACTCACGAGTGAGTACTTTCAGTAAAGTCCGCAAGCTTCGAGGAGGCGAACCCAAGTAAAGTGCTTACTCGATAATTTAAGGACTTGCGAAGAATTGGCTTTCGGAGATCATTTCTCCGTATTCGGATGTTCTAATGTGAAAACCCTGTAGATAATAAGAGAGAACTATATGTTAGCATATGACCAAGTTACTTACGAAAGGCAGTGAAGATTTCGTAACAAATGAAAGGTTCGACTCTTTGATTCCTCGAGCGTTTGCACGAGCGACAGTACAGCACAAGCTTTCTCTGCCGGTGGATTCAGAAACATACTCTCAGTTTACTAGCTTTGATCGAAGGTTTAAGCCAGCTGCTACTTCTGTGTCAAGTTCGTCGGGTACAACGCAATTGGGATGTGGGTTAGTCAGTGAAGGGTTTCTTGCTTTATGCCTGGAAGCTCCTGACGAATCTTATGCATGCGAATTATGTTTATTTTTTCATTAGAACTTCTTTATCCTGAAATGGTCTTGCTTCTGACCCTCTGCATCTTATATTAACTCTTCTTCTCCCCACTCCATTATGAGCACGGCTCAGCAAGGGCGCCTCGTTGATGGCTATTAGGGTTCTACAAGCAGATACAAATGAGAACAGAATGGTGTGATAGATATATTAGCTGGTACTAGCTTAGTTCTTAATTCAGTCTAGGAATGGTAAAACTTAACGATATGTATGCCGGAACTTTTGAAGTATTTAATCTTTGATATGCATGAATACATGTGCTTACATGTCTACAAGTTTTCGGTGCGTTTTTTGTGAAGAGAATGTGCAGGGAAATTGAATATTTAATTGCACATCGGAGCTTATCTGCCGTCACTAAACCAGCTCCTTAGTCCATCGCATTGCAAGTGACTAGTCCGTTATGGCCATAATACTTTGGCCCTTCGAGACTTACCTTCAATCTCACTATTATATAACTTCCTTCCCAAGCCTAGTTCCTATTTCAACACAATTTTGAGTGTCCTTTACTTTTGACAGTTTTCGCCCTTAGTTTCTTGGGTGGAATGATGTGGATCTCTCCCTTCTGTCGATCAATAGAGATCCAGGTGTCCTCCTTAGACTAGGATTCAACGATCAATGTCTACAAATTGACGTTGACTTGTCCTTTCCCTGTTGCACAGTGCTGTTGTCAACAGTCTAGTATCAGTCTGTCTTAGTGGCAGATTATCCTATCTTTATAGTGAATGTGCGTTCTGTTCATACAATAAAAGTTGGATGGTTTCTGTTTTTTAACTTTTAGAGTGTTCATTCTTTTGACTCGAACATCTTTATAACACTTCATGACTTGAAGTTACTACTCATGTTAAACCCGGGCCCACTCTCTTTGAGCTTCTTACATGCAAACGGGATTTTTTTTGACGAGTACATCATATCACTTTTTCGTGGGTGGTGCAGAGGAGCTTCCCTTGTGTGCACTGTCAGATGATCGAGTGGTGGAGATTCAGGGTGAGGCGCGCAACGTTCACAGGGCAATGGAGCTGGTCGTTTCTCATTTGAGGAAGTTTTTGGTCGATCGAAGCGTCCTAGCATTATTTGAACTCAACGTAAGATACTTCTTTTAATAGACGTTTGACCTCGTTATATCATCTTCCGGATTGACAAATTCAGTTCAACAAGCTGATATGAATCTTTTAGATTATGTTGACCATGTATTGCCTCTAAAGTACATCTCATGCGTTTATCTATGTTTCTGTTTGTCGTGCTATTGGTCAATCTGGTGGACTTGACAGCGAGCAGTTACAGCCAATCAATCGCAACAGCAGCCTAGTGCAGGTTCTTGGGCCGGGCATTCACCTGCCAATGCTCTACCCAGCAACGCGGGAGGACCTGGACCAATGGGCAACAGCAGTCACTACGGAGGAGCCTCAGTACCTAATGACAACTTGAACTATTATCAAAGTCCGCCTGAAATACATCATCATGATACACATCACCATCATCATGGTGTTTCTTTGTACGGCCGGGATCCAAGTATCGGATCACTTACCAGTTCTGTCTCTGCACCCCCTCCTGCTCCGGTGATTACCCAGGTATCGTTATGTAGCTGTCTCTCATCACGTCAGATTCTAGTATTCTAGATTCTTGTATTTGTCCGTCGTTTTTATTTCTAACTTAGTAGTGTGTGCTGGTTTTCTTTCAAGTATTTATTTTAAAAGTTTAGTCCTCTTTGCCGGTATCTTTCTGTTACCGTCTGTTAGGCTCTTGCTTTCGAACAGGATTATGTTTTCGTATACTTCTCTTTAGATTGTTCTATGTTGCTCGCTTTTTCAACAGTGTCGTGCTACAAGGTTTTGTTTGCAACATGCAGGAGGGAACTCAGGACTTATAACTTAAGTGTTTAGGCTGACTTTGTGCAGATGACGCAGCACATGCAAATTCCCCTGTCATACGCTGATGCGATTATTGGCGCAGCTGGTGCGAACATTAGTTACATGCGTAGAAACAGTGGTGCCACAATAACTATACAGGAAACTCGTGGTGTGCCGGGAGAAATGACGGTGGAGATTCACGGTAGTGCAGCGCAAGTGCAGACTGCACAGCAACTTATCCAGGTAACTGGCATGCAACATTCTAGTCCAAGTCGATAACAGTGATATAAGAATCAAACTTTAGACTTTCCTGCAGCAATCTACTGATTGTTTCACTCCACTTGCTCAGTATGATTATAACGAAATTGCAAAACTTCATTTGCCCAAGTTTTTCTCACTGGGGTCCAGTTTCTCCAATATTTTCTAGCGTAGTGTAGTTGTACTGTGCAAGTTGTTAGTACTGATTGAGTTTTGTCGGTCAAGAAGTCAGATTCTGATGTGCCTATGCACCTCTGGTCAAACAGAGGCTTGACGGGAGGAAATTGAGCTGGAGTTTTTATCTTGTGTGACCTTTTCTAATTTCTATCTTCTGCTGCTTTCTTTATGTAGAATTTCATGGCAGGTGCAACCGGAGCACCAGCATCAACCTATAACTCAGTAGATACAAGCTACTCATCATATGCGAACCAAAACTCTTTGTACTCGTCAGCACCTAGTAACTCAGGACACGCGACAACAGCAGCTTTCACAACACATTTCAACAGCAATACATATGGGGGCTATTGATATAATCCAGGTGCGCTGTGAAGTTTTGCATTGTGCCCGTCCCTTTTATGAGGATTTGGCCTCTCGCATCCATTTTGTAATGCCAATTAATGAATGTGCTATCAGGGACACTTGACAGAGAGGTTTAAAAGAAGTTCTTTGTGAACAGGGCGCCCTGTATTTAAACATAGTCAAAAGCCCAAAAAAGAAATTTATTTGGCAGTTCTCTAAAGTTGCACTCAGCCATGTTCGTCGCACAAGACTCGGCCTTTCACTTGTATCTCTACCCAAGTTCTGACATGGGTGGGCCACTGCACTGCTGTGGCCCTAATACTCCTCGTCAACGTGTATCATCAGAAGATCATGTCCTGATTTCAGTTTTGTCAACCAAAATAGATATGGGGTGAAGCACCCTCGCGGTAACCAAACGGGGTACGATAGCGTAGGCATCCCAGGATAGAGTTGCTAAGTTCCTCGTTAAATTAGGATTGTTGTTAAAGATGCTATTCCTGGATTATGTCATTGATGGTATAAAGTGCTCTTAATTTATTCTGCGATGGAGTATGACTGTGATATCATTTTGTCCCCAAGTTCAGAGGTCACTTTTACGCATTGATGTGTATGGGGTAAGAACCAGAAAACTTATGCTTGTACTTGAGATCTGCCCATTGAATTTGTAGTAACTTACCTAAAAATCATGACAGACATATCGGAGTGGGAAGTGTTTGCGAGGAAATGCTCCACATACTACACGGACATCAAGATCATTCCATTTCTCAGTGTTTGGAACTGCAGTCAGATAATCCACGTCCTGGGAGCGCCCTCAATCATTTCTTTGTCTTCTAAGTTATGTGTGCATTGTGCATGTGTGTAGTAACATGCGTGGAGTGGTGATGGACCACGAGATGGTTAACAAGCAACAAAGTTGTTAATGTCGAGCAAATACGTGTCATGAGTCACCTATTTGCGTCAAGATGGATTGGTTCTGAACCAGCTATTACACGTGTTAGGCGTTCGACACGAGTCTCGTCTGATCTTCATATACGAAATAATCATCTACAGCTTGGTTTCAAGTGTCGGAATCCAGGTTTATTATCGATGATATGACTCGAACAATGTAATCTGGGGAAATGCGTGAGCTCATGTCTCGAGCGAGCAGAATGTCGGTAAGGTTAGAAACGGAAAAGTCATGACTAACACAACGGAATAGGAACTAGTTGCAGAAGATGTAGAGGGTAAAGTAAGGGCTGAACATTGTTAACGTACAGCCTTAATGTAATTATAGTTTGAATCACATTCTTCCTTGGAAACTTGTCTTGGATGCACATGTACAATTTGTTCTGTGTTACTATTTGATTTGTGACCATTTAATTGAAATCTGAAAAGATTATTGTCGTTAAATAAATGAACTATAATTTATAAGTCAATTTGGTGTAGTTATTTATGATAAGTATCATAACATCAATGTGTATAAAACACATTATTTTACTTATGGTTTTAGATCACATGTAAGATTAATGAATAATGAAGGAGACTTTCAATCAAAATAAGTGATAAATTTTGCTGGATGTCATCAACTATACATTTAACAAGTTTTTTGCAAATACTTGTTTTTCAAATCCTTTATCTATGATTTTCAAAACGAATTGATAACAATTGTATAAAATTCCAATGTATTTTCAATGTTTTAATCCAAATTGATCTAGATTTTCTTATTATGATTACTCGTCATCAACTGGCTTCATTTTTATTTGACTTTAAATTTAGAATTTGGAAATAAAAAGTTTGTTGATTTAGCAAAACAATTTTCAATTTTAAAGTGTGTCTGATAAAAATAATAAAATTAAAAGTAATATATCGATAAATTTTTTTTGGCAATTCATTTTTGTATAACTATAAAACTAAGTTTTGAACATTTGACAAAACGAATTTTTATAAAAATATGAAAATATTTTCACAACGTAAGTATAACATACATTTCAACCATATTTTTATTACTTAAAATTTTTAAGATTTTAAATAAAAAGAAGGTTAAATTATTGTCGAATTGAATCTTTATGTGTTTAATTTTTTATTTCTATAAAAAATATTAAAAAATATATCAATTTATTTAATTTGAATAATTGTTTTTATTTGAGCAAATCCAATCAATATACACTATACATGATAAATGATGATATACATGTTTTGGATGATTATTTTAGAAAAATATAATAGTAAAATTATAATATATGAAGTATATTGAATTTAAAATTATAGAAGTAAAAATTTAGAGTAAACGTAATCAAACCTATATTATTTATTTTAGTAATTTTGAAATTAAAGTTTTGCAACAATTAAATATTATGGTAATCATGCATATTTTTATTTTTTTTATTTTTCTATATCATGACAATGAACCACAGATAAATTTCTTATATCAAAATAATATTAACTCATACAAATACTTCAGGATTATTCAAGATTCGGTGGGTAAGTAGATAAATAAAAATATCACTTTAGATAGATGATGTTTAGGTGGTATTTATCAAGATTTCAGAATGTTAGTATTTGTTAACATATAATTAACAAATACATTATTTTTATGTCATCAAGTGTTCGCTTTTGTACTTTAGATATTTATAAAAAAATTCAGTTTATTAGTAATTATTTTAGATTTTATTCACTTTGATTTTACTTTGTACACTAAACTTTAGAATGTAATACAACATATGTGGAAGAAAGAAAAATTTTAAATGAATCTTGTTTTTGAAAACAAGATTTGATCAAGTATAGAAATAAGTAAAAAAGGATTATTTACATATTTATTTTCCATAATATTTAGCACACTACAGAACTTTTTCCTAAAAGTAATAAATTTTTTTGTTCAGATTTTGTATGAAGTCGTAGAATTATGCATTCTTTATGTATATTTGTATGAGTTTTTTTTACTGGTCAAATTCAAAATACATTATAATCTTTGGATATATATATATATAGGAATGGTTATATTATTTGTTTGCCTAAATCACCTAAATATGTTTAATTTAGTCGCATCAAGAAAGTTAATTTAGGTAATTTAGTAGCTTATCTGATAAAAAGCGCCTTGAGTGCATTTGAAAGTGAATGAGGGGTTCAGAGAGAGAGAGAAATATCACTGGTGGGTTGCAGTCCGGATTATATCTTCGGTTATTATGAGACTGAGGTGCTTTCAAACTTATTAGCAATCATCACACCTTATTGGCTGAGATCTTCCAAGCTTCAATTTTGAACCAATCACATGCTAGATACTCTGATTAATTCAGGCGCTAGAGAGAACATCAATTTAGATAATTGATGCCTCAATATAAGGTGGTCGAAAATGACCATGCCTGTAAATATGGCAATCAAACATAAGTACAATATTAAAAAATATGATGAATAAGTAGAATGACAGTTTAATTATTTGGTCATATATTGATAATCACTTTTATTGATTTTTTTAAATAATTATAAATGAAAATTTTAGATAAGATTATTTCTATTTTCCTATGTCAATGAAGATAGTGCATCTTTTCTGATATGAGTTACCATCATCAACATATCAGAAGAAATTTTTTAACGTAGTTCATATAATGTGATGATATTTAATATGTATATGAGTTGAATAATGTTAAAATCAATAATAAAAAATATTTATTGTTATTTCATACGCTCTTGCCTAAATATCATATCGATTAGTTGCATCTCATTGTATTTGTAATAGAATATCAATCTTCGTAGACATATTTGCAGAGGTAATAAATATTTCTATCGAATTTTTTCAATTAAAATTTGAGTACTGTAATATATATACATATGATATTTGAGTAAGGCTGACATTTCAATATATTTGGATATTTAGTATGGAACTGTAAATTTTTGAATAAAAGAACTGGAATTTTTGTAATTTTGGACTTCAAAATGATGAATCTATCCTTTTTCCAAATATGAATTATGCAACTTTAACTATCTCCAAGTAATAGAATCAAGGCGAAATCATGTGCTGTTAGACGCGCTAATGTAGAAGGAGAGATAAATGCATTGCAAACCAAGGAAGAATGTTTCAGAAAGAGAAGGGGGCCAAGTGGATGGAAAATCATCGGGAAGTCCCCATAGAGGAAACAGAGAATAGAAATAACGGTCACCAGGAAATAACCAGGGATAGGAACTACTGCTGACTTTTGCTGTTGTTCCATCCCAACAAAATCAAACTGGGAGTGAACCGCTCATCCTCATGTTCGAGGCTGAACACCACCAACTCTTTTTTTCGGAAATGGTGTTATGCGCATATCCCAACAAAACCGTTAGGCCTATCGAGCAATCGCGCATAGACATAGGTGAAACTGCGTTTCTTACCCATGATACCCCCTGCGTTTCTTACCCCTGAAGAGAGGCGCGAGAATGGAAGAATTACAACAAAACTCTTGGGTCGTTATCAGTTCCGCTGGTAAAGGACAAGCGGAAGGAAGCTTGGAGGACGCGAGTACACATCCTTTTCGATTTGTAGATCTTCAGGAAGTCCGCATAATGCCGATTTCACCTACAACATGTCTAATCATAGGCCTTTGACTTCGGGATGCAAAATGATGGCTTTAGGCTGATTCTGGTACACACTACATTCGCTCTGCATACACTTTGCATGGATGATGTACCAACAGGAAGGTGAATCTGCTTGTGGCAAACGGCAACATTCTACACCCATCTATGAATAAATCATAACAGACTATCCTCCTAGTGTATCATGATGACAAGTTGAGATGTACAGTTCAAGAATAACTACACTACGTCCCAAACATGGACACTAAGCCTATGGACACTTGTGGAAGTAAAACTTCGAGCGAGAGGACAAAGGTAAATGATAGCACCCAAGAAGCTAGAGTCTCCTAGATTTGATGGAAGAAGAACACGAGGTGCGAGGTTTTTGGCTCTGAGTGAATCTGTTAGAGAGAGGAGCAACATTCTCCTCGGCAAGCCATGCAAGGCCTGTGTTGAGTAGTAGGTTTGGGTTATTATTAATATAACTTTATTATAGCAGAACATTCCTTCTTTTGTCCTAATCTAAGGACCCGTAAGAGAATGAAAATCCGGTGACCGGTCAACCCACAAGACAGAGCAGCTTTGTCCTTAGGAGTTCAGATGAGCCGAGTCAGTCCTATGTCGTGGCCTTCCTTACACTTCAATCCAGACGGTACACCGTGCAGAGAACGAGATCCAACGTAAGAAATCCCCTACAAATCTATCTCTCTTCTGCGTTACATGCAAGCACTGGACTAAAGTTGCTGAACTGGCCTGCCCGTATCGGCATATAAAGAAACATTTCCTAACTTTAAAAACGCGCAAATCTTTAACAGAAATATACTGATGATTCTCAAAGCCAATGATCTACCCCTCTTCACAAATCATACTGAAGATGTATGCTGATTTCTCTTGGTACCGTATGTACTGGGTATCAACTGAGCAAATGCTGAAACCAAAAGAAGAAAGAGAAGAATTAAAACCTACCCGTCTTATATCTTTTGCTATGCGTATAAATATGGCTGGTGGTATTAGAGCAACCAGATTAAAGTCTCATTCGTCTAAACCTACTCCTTATTGTTAATATGTGCAGTGTGGTTGAGGCATCAGATGATCCATTTTATATCTAGTTGCAGCAATCCTCTATCATAGACAGGCAGGTATATTGAAAATGGAACGCATAATTGGGTGAATGCAGCAATTGTCCCATCTGGAAATCATACATGGGCGCATGGAATAAAAACAGCGATGAAAATGCCACAAAATTAAGTACAAAGAAAAGTGTTCTTCTCATTGTTATTAAGAAAGGGAGACTACGAGATAGCCGTTTTCTCTTATGTTAGTCACTACATTAATCATCATGCTGATGAGTGAAAACTCTTCGCGTTGTTGTTATTTTGATACATCCATGCTTTACCATCTATTTATTTGATGGTACCCCATCGGAACCTAAATTGCTTGATGGTATCTATCAAGTTTTGTTTCATCCGATGTAACTCCATCGGCTGCAGAATATCGTGAAGTTCTAAAACATGTTTATGTACACATATGATGCAAGCTTTAGTGGATCTCTGTGATTGCAAATTCGACAGATTTTTGTCAAATTTCTCAATAGAAATATGTCGCTAGTTGCAAATTTGAGCTGTCACCTTCATCCGCGCCCCTGGTGATCGGTAGCTGACTGTCAACTTCTTCGATTGTATAATCTGAACTATCGAGTGAAATTTGTGTCAAATTCTAAAGGAAAAAATCACAGATTTCGCAATCTTCCA